AAGTCCCACCTGAAGTGGAGGGTGTTGTGCAGAAAACTCACAAAACCTGACTTACATTTTAATAGTGTCCTTCTGGTTATTCTGCAGAAGCAGATGATAGGAGGCCGAGAAGAAAAGCAAGAATGGAAGACTGCTTCTACTGAGGCCCAGAATAGACAACCATCATGTGCACACAGGTGCCCGCTGTATTCTGGGAATAAAGGCGTTAAGTATGATTCGGTAGTCAGCGGGGCATGTTGGTGCAAATGCTAGAGAAAGAAGGGGCAATACAGTTAAAAGAAACCTTAAGTTTAGTTACAATGAATGTACTGCGTATTCAAAGAATTAGATAATGATGGAAGGATAAAATTTTCTTTGTCTGTATGTATCAGGTGTGTGTGCATGTGTGTGTGTGTGTGTGTGTTTAGTGCTACAGGTGCAGAATGAAGCTACTGGTCGAGTAAATAACTTTCACTCTGGTTTCAGCTGGTGTATGAGAGGTGCTTTTTTGATATCATTCTAATTCCTCAGCCACTCTGTCAATCGCTTACGCTTACTACTTTTAATGCAGGTCAGGTTGTAGTTTCCCAGCTAGATTTTATTTTCTTCAAGGGCAAATCTCCATTCTTTAGCATTTCTTCCATTTCTCATTGTTATTTTTAAAGCTGAGTAATGAATGCAGATTTGCTAGTTAATTGAATTAACAAACCAACACATTCTAAAATGAAAGACCCTGAAGAAATGTTGTGGGCTAATAAGGAAGTTTGAGGTTTGGGCTAGTGTTCGGTCTGGTTGAGGAATGTCAGCAAATCTCCTCTGTATCTTTCCTTTATTCCAGCTGTAGCTGAGGCTAAGCTGACTAAACGCTGAGGCTGAAGATTTTTGTTACTGATGGCTAAACTCACTGAATCTGTCTGGATGGACCCTGCCTCTGGGTGGTGGAAATAAGGATGGGAAACAACAGAACAAACATGGTGTCATATAGGTCATCAAGTCCTTAAGGAAACCAGAGGAGTGTGAAAAATTAAAATAAAGGAATGAGTCCTCAGTGGGAACTATTTTAAAAGCCAATATTGCTCATATATTTGCATCAGAACTTTTTTTTTTTTTTTTTTAGTAAAAAATTTTTTAGCGTACACTATTGATGGTCAGTTTGACATTTCTTGCCTTGATTACTTTAGGAGCATTTTTGTGGCAGGTGGTATACAAGTACTTTGTCCCAGAGACTTGAACAGGGTCAGATTTTTCTCTGAGGCTGTGGACACTTTGCTACAGTTTCCAGTAGTAATAATAATACTGGATAAACTGTATCCAGCCCTAACAAATCACCAGGTGCAAGTATTCATTTAGACCACAAATCTCACTAAGTATTTGGTGTCCATTCTATAGGAAAGGACTATGAACTGAGTTGATGTCTGTTCACTGTCATGGGTTGGAAGGAATATAGCCATCTTCACAATTCAGGCTGTCATGACTGTTGAGACCTGAGGCATGAATCAATACGGTTACAAAGATGTCCCAAGAATCCATAGGTCGTTGAGGCCAAGCACATCTCTAAAATTGTAGTTTCACTGAGTGTTCACAAAGACCATGACACACACCATCATTCTGGTGTGTAGATTTTACACCCAAAGAGAAAAGACAGAGGTCTCAAGTGAGTTGCACTGTCTGTATTTTTTCTGAGGGTAATAGAAGCACAGCCCATGGAAAGAAAATTAAAAAACAAAACAACAACAACAAAAAACCTTGAAAGCTTTTCTTAAAATGAAAAATTAAATAGGATATAGCACCTGGATTCAGGTGCTTCCAGGAGAGTCTATATCAGTTCTCCCATCCACAAAGAAAACAAACTTTCATGAGTCCCAGTATGGAAAGTAGGCAGAACCCCAAGACCACTGGTCCCAGTTTACCAGCAAATACCCAGTCTGTGTTATTTCTGCTGCCCTGACCTACAGGTGGACGTCTGACCTTCTCTTTTGAGATACCCAAAGACTGCAGGTCTCACCTGATAATGATGAAAATTAAAACAAAGTGTGTAGGAAAACTTGTTCATCCTTCTGTGTGTTCTGAAAGAGTTTTGCATGGGGTGCCACGGCTCCACTGGCCACTGGGAACAGTTCAAAGGAGAGCAAATGAGACAAAGGCTTAGCTTAGAGTACTGCACATGAAAGCTGTGGGCCTCCAGCAGGCCACTGCATTGCTGTCACAGTGAAAGCTCCACTGTTTTCCCGGCTTCTGTTCTGAGAGCACTGTCTTGAAAGACTCATTTATTCTTCACAGCGGACCTAATTATCCCTTATTATGAGACCACTGAGATTCAGAAAGATTTACAGACTTGCTTAGTTCCCACAGCCGGTAATGCCTTCTACTGATCCACTCTATCTGCAAGTCATTACTGGCTTCCCCTGCTCTCAAAAGGACATCAGTCTCTGCCATGTAGGATTGTGTCCCCCGCCCCCCGTGCTTCTGCCCTTCATGCCTCTTAATAGCTTCTGGAGAATAGTGCTTATGACTTCAAAGGGACTGCACTTTGTCACTTCAGAAACTCGCCACATACTGTCTGCCTGAATCTCCTTTCCCACTTCCCACTCAGGGAGTCACTACTCAGAATTCAGTTCCTCCCGAGGAGTGGTAACTGTCATCTATCATTTGGTGTTTCAAACATGGTTTTCAGATTTTTTTTCTAACCATTCTTTACTTCCTTGTCCAGTGAAGCATTTGGTCTGGCCCTCTACAATGAAAGGCCCATGCTGCTAACCTGTCCACAAAGCGTAGAGTCTGACTCTAGGTGAGGGATCAATAGTACTTGAGTAGGAAGGAAAGGTTAACTTTCTTTTCCTTATGTTTGAATTTTTGTCACTATTCCCACACTAAGCCCGAACATTCTAAAGTTTCTGTTTATAACATCTTCAGTCTGATTTAGTTTACTTAACTAACACAGTTTTTGTCTGTAGCCTTTCCTAGCAAGTAAGCAAATGCCCGTGTACTGACTGCAAGATTCCATGTTGGCATGGAATGAAAAAAAAAGGCAGAGAGGCCGAAAAAGATATGATCCTTAATTTTATTCCACTGTTCCCCGGTTTCCTCAGAAACAACTGCAACTTCTTTAAACATGTTCCCCCTTTATCCCCTCAGCCTAGGAAGCCGCAGATTGTGTGCTAGGGATCTGAAAGTTCACACATGCTCTCTGCTCCTTCAAAAGTTGAAAAGCACTATTGTCAGCATGAAACAGATGCAGGTCCTGTCTCCAGCACAGCTATGCTCTGGATGTGGGCATTTGTGCATGCCACTGAATCCTGTAGGGTCTGAAGGGATGATGCTGTGTTTATCGTATAGGTTGCTATTATTTTTGAAGATTTAGTCAAGAAACAAATATTAATTGAATAGCCAAGGTGGGAATGGTGGGAACTGGTCGCTGATGACAATCCTTTTCTTCTTTTTGCATTTGTTCTGGGGATTGGATGTAGGCAGGCTTCAGAAGACCCTTGAAACCCTGAAAATTACATCTAAGTTAGTTATATCCAGTATTTGCATGTATTTCCAGAGGTTGTCTTAACCAAGCACCGTACATCTAAGCAACAGAAATATGCTGCCTCACAGTTCAGGGGATTGAGTCTCTGACATTAAGGTGTTGGCAGGGCCGGTTTCTTTTCTGTGCTCAGGTGGGGAATCTAGTTTATGCTCCTTGCATAGAATCTTGGTGTACAATAAATAATATTCTGCCTGGAGGCCTCTTGCTTCTATGACACCAACAATATTGGATGATGACTGGTACTCCTCGGTTATCCTGTTGTTGCACTATGTCATGGATATTCTGCTGCTTTGGATCAGCAAGAGTGGCGCTTTCATGCTTCCTGGTAATTTGCAGATGATACAGATTTTGTGATGGCCCAACACAGAGCCTTGGATTTGGGCCTGGGTGGTAGCTGAGATGGTTAGTATGCTGGCTCTTCCTTACCTGCACCACAAGGAGAGCTCACTACCATTGCTTTGGCTAGGCCACTCAATGCTGCCATAGGCAGAAGTCAGGGTCAGCTATCCTGCTTTCATGCCCTCAGGGCCAGCTCGCCCACACCCATGCCTCCAGAGCCAGCTCCACTATGTTGCTCAGTCTAGATGCAGGGCTCACTTTCCCAGATGCTACAGTTTGCCAGCCTTTGAGGGCCCGGGCCAGCTCTCCCATTATCATACCCTTGGAGCTGGCTCATGTATGCCTTTGCCATCAGGGCCAGCTCCACTGTGTTGCCCAGGTGAGGTGCAGGCCCTTCTTTCCCTAGTGCTACAGCCACTGAGGGAGCAGGGCTAGATCTCCTACTCTTGTGCCCTTGGGGCCAGCTCTCCCGACTACCACAGGAGGATGGGCGGGGGGTGGGGGGCGGCGGTCATTATCTCTGCACTCACACCACCTCACAGAAGACAAACGGTGGGATTTGCTCACCCACACCCCTGCTACCTGGTCCAGCACTATTGTGCTGCCCAGGCAAGATGCAGAGCCTGCTCTCTCTAGCATTGCAGCATGTGGGAGGCAAGCTCACCCACTCTCGTGACGTGACCCAGGGCAAGCTCTCCCAACTGCCACAGGTGGTGAGGGGCAAAGAGTGAGGGAATCACCCTTGTGAATCACCTCACCTCATGGCAAAGGGGTGTCTGGGCCAGATCTTCCTCACTTTCACCCTCAGGGCTAGCAGAGCCATGCCCCTGCCACCAGGACCAGCTCCACCGTGCTGCCTGCGTGAGGTATGGGACCTGCTCTCCCGAGTGATACTGCTGGTAAGAGATAGGGCCACCTCTCCAGAGAACTGCATCCAGTGAGGGGAGGGACCAGTTCTACCCCTGTACATCCACAGGCTCCCAGTTGGCAGATGGGGCTCTGTGTGTCTATGACCTGCCTGTGCCATCAGGCAGAAGGCAGGTTTTCGAGTATCTTTCTCTGCCCACACTGTGTGGCATGGTGGAATGCAGGTCTCTGTCTGTCTTCCTCCTCTCACAACGCACTGCCTACATTTGATTCGGTTTGATTTTTATGTGTCCTAAGCATAAGACAGCTTTGGCCACCAAGTCAGACATCAAGTTAGGATAAACAAAGGACTGCTATCTACTTTGTCCCGGACTGATGTAAGAACATCACCAACAAGATGTCTCTACCCACTGCCAGGGGTTTTACATCGTTAGTACACCTATATTTGGGGCATGACCTGCTACATGAGACCAGTATGAAATTTTCTATTTTTATTGATATGTTAGTGCTCAAAACATTCCAGATTTTGGAGCATTTCAGATTCAGGGTCTGGAAATTATGAATGTTCAGCCTGTGTAAGAGGAGAAAGCACAGAAAGTATTTTTCTACTCCATAATCTGTATTCCATAGTCATACTAGTGGGGCATTTCCTTGAGTAATGATTGATGAGGGAAAGCCCAGCCTCCCTTAGGCAGTACCACCTCTGTGAAAGTGGTCTTGGAAAGTATAAGAAAGGTAGCTGAATAACATGAGCCTGGAGAGCAAGCCACCAGCAGCCTTTTTCTGAGGCTTCTGCCTGAGTGCATACCCCGACTTCCCTCAGTAACTAATGGTGATACAGAAGTGTAAGCAAAATAAACCCTTTCCTCCCAAGGTTATTTTAGCCATGGTGCTTACAGGAGCAGCTAAAAGAAAAGTAGGACAATCTGATTCCCACATATTGAACACACCATAAAAAAACAAACTTCAGTTGTTACTGTGGCTAACAAAGAGTCATTTAGAAGTTAGTGTCCTGAAAATGTGGAGACATGATTCCTGGAGCTGATAGGGTTTCTCCTTAAAGCCCTTTTTCTTCTTCATTAAGGAACAATCTAGACAATGACATATGTAGATCCTCAGACATGAAAATGATCCTGCTAGCAGAAGAAGCCTGTGGTTTTTGGTTTAGGAAAGATCTTCCAGCTTGAACTACTTCATGGCACCGTAACTTAAACAAGAATTATCTAAACATGTAAGCAAAGCCACTGGTACATGGATATCAGAAGTGTCAGGATCTATCTGAATCCCTCTGCAGAGCCATTGTTTACTTATCATATGTGCTAGTTATGGTGCCAGGTATTTGTGGTAGTTATGTCCTGGCTAGTTTTATGTCAACTTGATGCTTTTATGTCAACTTGAGGCAAGCTGGGGTCATTCTGGAATGAATCTCAGTTGAGAAAATGCACCTACCAAACTGGCTTATGGGCAGGCCTGTGGTTTATTTCTTGATTGATGATTAATGTGGGAAGGCTCAGATCACTCGGGGCAGTGCCACCCTCGGGCTGGTGGTCTTGAGTGCTATAAGAAATTATACTAAACAAGTCATGAGGAGCAAGCCAACAAGTAGCACTCTTCCATGGCCTCTTCATCAGCTCCTCCCTTCAGGCTCATGTCTTGAGTTTCAGTCGACTTCTCTTAGTGATGCACCGTGATGTAGAATGTAAGCAGAAGTAGCCCTTTCCTCCCCGTGTTGCTTTTGGTCATGGTGTTTGACCAGAGCAACAGAAACCCTAAGAGACGGTAGCTGAATGGGGAGGAGACAATTGGAAGCTGGTAAATGGATATTTTGCCTGTAAGAAATTTAATAAAACAAAGCACACACCTATGCTGGGCTTAGACTGTTTTTTTTTTTTTTTTTTTTTTTTTGGTCGCTTTCGCTATGTTGATATGTACAGCCCCTAACATTTCCAACAATCACACAAATTAAAACAGACACACATATGCAATTGTTTACCTTGTCTCTTACCACTCCATGCTGTACACCATCTCAGGACACCACTGCTCAGGGCCTCTTGTCTCTGGTCTGCCAGAACTGTAAGCCAAACAAAACTCAAAACCCTTACTCCTTTTTTTCTCCCTGAGATAGTTTCTCTGTCTTGGCTGTCCTGGACTCACTTTATAAGTCAGGGCTGACCTTAAACTCACAGAAATCTACCTGCCACTGCCTCCCAGAGTGACAGGATTACAGACTTGCACCACCAAACCTGTCTTCTCCTGTCTCAATTACTTTATCCTACTAGTGAAAAACAAAACAAAACTTAACAACAACAAAAGACTAATATATAAAGTTACTCAGCAATACTTGTTGGGTTTGAAAAACGATTTCATGTAGTAGTATACAATCTTTATATCTAACATTTGCTTAGATGAGTAATTTTCTGTGTGGAAACTATAGAAGTCATATTTTAGTGTAAGAAGAGCACATCTTTTACAAACAGGTATTACCCAGTGGAGAAAATGGAGAGATAGCTATGCAATTGAGCAGCATATATTAAAATAAATATACAGTAAGCCGCTGGCAACTATACAACTCCAGCCATAGCACAAAACATTAGGTACTTATACTCAAGATGGCTTGAATGTTGTGTGTGTTGCATTCACTGTAAACTATCCTTTAACTGCTGGTACTAAACTACATCTTCCAACTTTAAATATAAAATAAATAGATCATGTGTCAATATTTGCTCAAATAAAAACAGTACATATTTAAAACTGAAATATTATAAAAATAAGTGTCATTATTCATGCATGAAATACAAAATGAGTTATGGGCCCAGCATTTTTCTGCACATAGTATCTGAGTTAGTAATTCTACCCTAAAGCAAATAAAAATATTTTTTAATATTACTATCCTAGCAGTGTTCATAAAAGAGATGGATACTGATGCCAGGATATCTATAAAATCAAATTTGCTTTTTAAAAGTGGCATTTAAAAATTATCTACAAATTTCTGGCTGGAGAAACTGGTTCTCTCATCCAACTGAAACTGTGGAATTATTTTGACTAGACATTCACGACAAATGCATTGTTCCTTCATTTGAGATACTCCTGTAGCCGGAGGAAGGCTGAAAACACCACGGGCGGTATGGACAGTGTACAGCAAAGTGCCTGAAAGGAACCATGGGAATGCTGAGGGTAGAGGTGGTAGGAGAACACAGCAAGAGCCTTTGAGTGACACAGACTTAATGTGGTAGGGAATTGCATGTGCTTCACTGAACATTTCCTCAGAGATGCAACTTTTGGCCTTCTTTAAATATTTGAATAATTTTTTATGTGTGTCCCAAGTTCCAATTTTAAGAAGTCACAAGTAGCAAAGTTTCTGATAAGAAAGCCATCTTTGTGAGAGGGTGATTGGAGCCACAATGTCCAGGCAGGCACCTTGATTCCCCTATCCCAGTGCAGAAAGCAGGTGATGGCCCTTATGTCAGGTAGAGGCCTTTTCCAGCCAGGCAGAGTTGAAGGCTGGAGGCTGAGCAAGATAGCAAGATTCCTGGCAATTTGGAAGCTGCAAGGCTGCCTTGGGAGAAGAAGAAATAAATTGTTCCAGTATAGAACACAGAGTCAGAGGCATAGCAAGCAACGAGTCCACCAACTGGGTCCAAGCCTAGCTGACTCCCATTATTAGTATCAGTAATGCCATGCTTCAGGAATAGAATGGTCTTTGTCCAGTCCAACAGCTTATGACTCTGGAATCCCAAGCCCTATCCCTATTCAAAGCAGAAAAGAAAACTTCTTATTTATGGACACAGAAAGAGTGTTTTCTGCACTCTAGAATGGTTTCTAGAAAATAAATCAGAGAATGGGTGGTAGGTGTGGATATTCCTCCCAATGCAAAGTACACTGCCTACTCTTTTTTTTTTAATTAGGTGGTCGTATTTAATAACCCTCTATTCTGAGGGATGACCACTAACAAATTTCTATGGACTGCTAACTAAAGAAACCCTCCTAATACTTTGATGTAATGCAGGCATTATTTATCAAAGAAAGTAGTGAGGAACCAGCTGTCCAGTGCATAATCCCAGTGTGTTGTGCTAAGGGGGCTCCACTGGCTGTTTAGGTGGTAGAGAAACACGGTACCTCAGTACCCTAAGATCCATGCTGAGTTCCTCATCAGACATAAAACCCCTTGGGGCTTTTTATTAGTTTCTTTGGTGGGGTTTAATTACCAGAATGGGTCAAATGAAAAAAGAAAACACACTCATTTTCTGTGTCCGTGAGTAAGTTTTACTTTCTGCTTTGATTGTGGATATGGCCTGAGATGTGGCCAGAGTCACAGGGCTAGGCAGCGATATGTGGTTTGGACTGGACAAAGGCCATTCTGTGGGCAGGGATATGGGAAGTAGGCACATGCTGCCACAAATTCTTTATAGGGTGGCATTCCTGGAATGTGGCCCTGTCTTTCTTCTTGGTTCTTGGCTGTCCTTCAGTGTCCTTTGAGGTTTCAGGGAGCAGCTTAGCTACTGTAGAGGGCAGGTGATTGACCTTGGTTTATAATTTTGGACGCACTACAGATAAATGAGAACTGTGTGGATTCTAGGAAACAGACAAGAGTAAGTGTAGTCATTATAAATATTCCTCCCAGAGCCAAGGATGTCAAGAATCCAGACCTAGAACTAGCCGAGAAGATGGATACAAGTGGTAACTGTAAGAACTACACTACGATGTTACCTGGTCTCCTGATCAGTGGTTAAGACTGAGGGAGAAAAACTGAGCAAAACAGTCTTTGAAGCTTCCTTCAGACCCAGGCAACTGAAAACCAGACTTTACAGAAGATGTGACTCCGTAGGCTCTGAAGAGAAGGTAGCCAATCTGATTTTTATTATGGGAAGCGCTTCATTTACTTATTACAGAAGGGTTTTCTCTTCCTTATAATTCAGTTCATCCATATTTATTATGAAAACAGACACATCAAAGAATGATTTGTGAACTGTCATTGAAACTGTTTAATTGTATAGATAAATGACAATATAGAATTTTTTTTTTAGCATACAGCAAGCATCACACATTTCTCTTGATAACAAAAGATGATACACGGCCAAATGAAAACACAGAGATAAAAGAATCTAGAATAGTAGGTTGTATTACTGGAAGTCTCCTTAGCAACCCCCAAAACCAACCCTGTTTAAAAGATGAAGAAATCAAACACTAGCAGAGCTGGTGAGCTCCTCTCTATAAAGGTTAAGGCACTGACTACGTGCCGGGCACTTGCTTGGTGCTGCAGATATTAAAGTAAACAGAACACGGTACCCGTACTCAAGGGGCTCTTAGGATCGTGAAGGGCAGTTTCCAGGGAATCCTCACAGAGCGTAATGAGTATTGTGAGCAAGGCATGCCAAGCTGCAAGGTGCAATGAATTTAGGCTTGGGAGCAGCTCACAGAGGTC